GATGTTGTACGTTGTTCAGTTTTACACTATTCCCATATCAACATGTCACTTTGGCACCTTGCACGAAGAATTCTGCTCGGCAAACAGTATTTCCACAGAAGTTCACCCTAAAAATAGTACAGAGGTTTTTATGAATCGTGGTTTTAAATGATGTCACAGTATTATAAACCGGAAGTGGTGGTCGTTCAACTGGATATTGACGTGATGGACTACATTTCTGTCAGATTGCTAAATTCAAAGCAACCCACAACTTAATAACAATTGACAGGTTTAAATCACCTATAAGTGTTCAACGAAAATGTGTGCGTCGTATCGTTTTCTATTCAACTAGGTTCAAATATATACAATAATAACGTCTTGAAATAAGTTTGACTTGCTGAACTATATCCAAACATGCTGTATTTATGTAGATGATTGTCGGAGTAATCAGGGGTTGTCGGAGGATCGATCAATATATTATGGATAGACTAAAACTCATTTGTATCGCGCCTTATGCTTGTACACATTTCTTGCCATTCCAATTACGTTACAGACGTTTTATCTCTCGTTAACTTATATTTCCTTCTCAACTTTATATTAAATAATAAATATAATAAACTTACACGCAATCAGCTTCAGGAAATTTGTCACAAACAGCATGTCGGCAGGGATCTACTTTACATGATATAACTGGTGATCCATCGGGGCATGTCTTGCAGTTCACTAAAACAACAGTTCATTTTTTTAATGGAAAACAATGATTGAAAAAACATACACATATAATTTCAAAGGTAGAATATGGGGATTAGCCCTTATGACTTACCGCTGTCAATTTTGAAGCAATCATGTTACCCGGACATACATTTCTTGAGTATCGAAATGAAGCACTGGTTAAGTATAAAAAAAAAGGCCGTCTGCATTAGCTCAGTAAGACGAAAAGCAGGGCGTTAAATTAAATTAAACTTGATTGGAGAAGACAAAATATTCATAATTACAGATAAACAGTCTATATAAACTTACCTATTGTAATAGCAAAGACAAGGCACAATAAAAGAGTCACGAATTGTTTGTCCATAATTGCAAATAAACTCTCAACAAAAATTATTCTTCTTACACATAGACAGTCAGGATAGTGATTACACTGTTAAAATTGGGCGTAACCATTACCGATAACATTGTGGCCATTAATGAAGCGCCCGCAAAATTAACACCCCCTTAAAATTTGTTAGCTTCGTTCTTTGATCCCGGCCGTTGCTTGCTCACGATCCTTTATTTTTGGTATCTAGGATGCAGTTGTTTGCGTAAATGAGAAAGCACGCTACGTGTTCGCCTTCTTTAATGTGTAATTTTTACAAATTGTTTTTAACAGTGTAAGTAATTCGAAAATAACATGATAAATACTGTCAAATTGTTATTGATTGATAATTATTAATTGACCTCGGGGTTCAGTGACGACATTTACTAGAAAGGTTATGTATGTTAGATCAACCTTAAAGTTAATCATAATATTGCCTTCTTGATGTACCTCTGGACTGTCCATACATAAATTCTTGGTATTATTTTTGTATAATGAGATGCACATAGGTCAATATTTATCATTTAATTTATACTCTGATATTAATTCAGTTTTTAAACATTTATATAATATGTTATAATTATGCTGAGTCGATGATGACCTCTGTAAATTACAAGGAATAAATTTATAATAATATATTTGGTTCAGAGCGCACGTGCACCTACCATTGCACGTATTTTGTCTCATTCTGACACCAGGCGTCGTAGTTTTACGGAGACTGTCGGTGTTGACTCGGAAGTTGTACATGTAAGTGGGTAAGAAAATATGCTTTGCTTTGTGAAAGAATGGCCTATGACCCCAACCTGGAAAATTTTGATAACTTATGATAATTTGTGAATCAAGAGACCTCATTCCGCTCTATATTGTCTTTTTAATGACTTTTAATGCGATTTGGAGGCTTGGTTGAAATATTTAGCCTTTATAAAAATTCGACTTATCAAGTCGAGGTAAAGATTCAAAATGGTTGTGGGCTACGTTCGTGTGTGTTATTTCCATGTAAGAACCCATCGTGTCCAAACCACGCCCCCAATTCGTCATACTTCCTTGGTTATTAAGACCCTGTCAAAAACCATTTTCGTGATACGATTGTAAGACCATGCGTACTTTCGTATGCCGAAATTCTTCACTTTGTTACTTTCACCACAAAACCCAGTTGAGGTCTAAACTCACTGTAGTCTGTAGAAACTGAGTAATTAGGTCTATACACACAAGATATTAATATGCATTTCTGAAAGCTGTTTATAGGGCTAGTGCTGAAAATAATTCATTAGAAAGTTTACCTATTTTAATACATACATCCACATTTCGATAATTCTAGTTTCACTTTTGGAGACAAAAACGTCTGTGTCTAATACGAACCACTGTATCTGTGTCTTAACAAGGATCAAATTTGGCTTGTGAATATGATAGAGGATATAGTTTTATCCGATCTTGATGAAACTTGGTATGCATGTATATATCGATGAAATCTTGGTCAAGTTCGAATTTGGAGTTTAGAGTTATTGCCCTTGACTTAGTAAAAACATGTCAAATTTTGCTTGTAAACGGATAGGGTTTATCCGAGTTTAATTAAAATTAATTTCGTTTCGTTTTTTTTTTATTAGTTCTTGTTTTTGGTACAGACACTTAAGGTGTGGGCAAACGACCTGTCTTGGTTGGAGACTTTTGTCGCCGAATAGTCTTGTCTTGAGTTTCTGCGACTGACAGTGACACAGGTACTCGGGGAGACGAAAATCTCGTGTCGGTCGTTTTCGACCTTGTCGATAATCACGTGCGGAGCATACAATTGAAAGGAAAATGAATCTAAATCCCGTCGGCGACATGATAATCTCGTCGTGCAAGCACAGGCACACGCTTGATTTTACTCAAGATTCAAGTCTAACGACCGGACTCTTGATCATTCGTGAAAATAACCTTTTGAAAAATGAGGAGCCATATTTTTAAGAATTGCCACAGTATCATTAGATGCATACTACTGTGTTCTATAGGCATTGTAAATGTGGAGTCTGGTATAGGCTACTCCTATTTCAACAATAATTGAAACAATTCTTCTTTGTGACGATTGAGTCAGAATGGAACTTGACGGTGTGACGTTTTAAATTTATAGGCTTACAGTGCCGTTTTTCAAGAATTGTTTAGGTCTCGATTGTACCTGGTCATTTTTTGATCGATAGGTTGTTTTCCATCGCGAAAATATACCTACAGCTATATCCTTTGTATTACAGATCGCGATAAAATTCATACAATTTATGCTTCACGTATGTGTTAGGCCAATGGTGACAGAGTTCAATACAAAGAAACATTTCGCAGTTTTTTAACGTCCGGTAAAATACGGAATGTGTTTTAAAAACAGAAAAATGTACCCAGTTCGTTTGTGAAGAATATCTAGCTTGCATAACATGAACTTGCATAAAGTCATCAAACATGTATGAAAAAGGCTCAAGTTTAAATTAAAGTAAACTTCTATAGCAGTTTTAATGATTTTATCGATTTAAACCATTGAGCTCGAATTATTGTTTATTACATCATCTATATTATGTGACAGTCCTGGCTATATTTTTAAGGAGAAATCGTCCATATAACTGGAAGTGATGTACAAGCGAAATGGTTGTATCTAATTTTACAATAAACTATTAATTTGGAATATAATGAGATTTCATATGCCAAACAGCAGTTATGAACCGGTTAGCTTATATATAGGTATAGATTGAACATAGTTTATAAAAAAAAAACATGAAAACTATTTTTCACATTCATGACCTGATTTGCCCTCTGCTAATGGTCTATATGTCATAATCAGGTTGAGCCAACAGGTAACAATAGTAAAGATTAAGCTTATTAAATATATGAAGCGTATAATTGGTAGTGTAAAATAATCCGGTCAAGTAATGATATAGACAATATAACGTCGCAGTAGTAAACAGGAAAAAATACTCAAATAGAAGGGATCACATATCTTTTTCATAACACTAAGGTAAAACTTCAATTTTTTTTATCATTTTATTAATTGATCAGTACAGCATATCTGGTAGGTTGGATTTAATTTGATAATAGCATTTCTTTGGGAAGATTTAAAACACTGAAATAGAATTGAAGTTCGAATGACATAAGAACTACCTGTTGGCGTCATTTCATCATAGACAAATCCACTGTCTGACTTTCAATCTTCAGAGGAGATAAGAATTGAAGAGATTTAGTATAAGATGGTAATATTGAAGGGCTTTCTTTTACAGGTTACAATATGTCAAATGGCGACAATGAAACGCTTCTAGAAAAGGTGTACCACATCACAGAACCCTGTATTCATCATCTTCAATCAGAATCTATATTAATTGTAACTCAAGCATTACGACATGTGGCAGATGAACTTCATAATAGATATGTTCAGTCTCCTATAAAAGACTTGATATTATCAGTATTTCATTCTTTATTACAATATAGGTAACTCATCCAAGCAATGTTTATGTAAATAGTCTAAATTATTCGTATTGTGATATAAAAACTGTTTGTTTTAGAAATGATGTTAAAGGTAAAAAGGTGGTACGGGTGATCAGCAAGACGCTGCTTCCAAACACTTCCGGCTGAGAACAGTTTTTTAGAAATGACCACTGAGAAACATCCTGAGTATTTTAAGTATTATATTCAATACGACTATAGTACTTGGACGGTGTGGGAGATATTTCTGTTTCTAGTTCTTATTTGCCAACCTTCTGACTGTGAAATATAGAACCATTCCTGAAAACAGCAAGATAAAAGGAATAAATAGTGATGATACTTTTTACACAGGTTGAACTGTGGCACTTCCGGTTTTGCTAAATGTTCCAAAATATATATATATATATATATATATATATATATATCCATTACAGAAGGCCTAGGAAAGTTGAATGGTTGCTGCAGCTACTGCAGTAGAGTCTCAGGAAGGTGTGCAAATTTCGAAAAAACTTCAAAATTCAAAAAAAAAATGAATGGCCCTAATACGCTTCCGTAGAAATGGGAACCCGTTTTTAGAAATAATAAATAACTTACCCAGTAGAGTCAGAAATATAAAATATAGAAACCCAATAGAGTCACTCATAGAAACTAACATGTGAATATTAATGAACATATTGAATACTGGTAAATATGGAACCATAATCATCTGAAATAAAAATGTAGTCTTAAAGTTCGTAGTGGCCATATCTTTATGTCGGTAGAATGTGTAATTTTCTGTTTAATTGGGTAATGAAGTGCATAATAATTTTATTCCTGTGAAGCCATACTGGAATTTCACAAGTTTACGAATAGGAGGAAGTTACTGCATTTACTTAGGTTTTTTAAAAGACAACGTTTTTTAGATATAAATTATGAACCTACCCTCAATCCAAGGTATTTCCTCGATTTAACATAAGATTTCAAGACACACAAGTGAATGGTAGCACACATCAACAACACTCCACAAACACAAATAGTCAGCAAGGAACTATAGTAGAAATCCTGTGTTCCTCCAGAATATAAAATAATGGTTCCGGATAGAAACACACAACTACACGTTATAGTTATTAAAACAATTATTAAATACCACTTTTGGTTATAATTTTCTACACCCAAAACCTTCTCTTTAATCTTTAGATTGCAAAGCGGTTTGTTTAATACAAACGGTACAGATGTTGTTTGTTTTGAATTTGTCATTGATTTTGAGAATTCTTTTATATCCATCGAAAGATCGTCAGACAAACGACTGACTCTGCCAATTTGGAAACTACTTGTTGCTATGCTCGCATCTCCCATTCTTAATATGGTTTCATTACAGTCTGTTAAAAACGGCAAAAGCTGTAGAATCACTGCATTGGGCGTTTTATCTGCTATATTCGATTGTTTAATGCTGCTAACTGTTGCAATGTCATGCCATTTATGTTCTGAAACCTCAATAAGTTCTGTGTAACAATTTATCCAAACTATGAGAATATTAGCAAGGGTGGAATTAACAAAAATACATATAGTGGAAAAAGATATTAGAGTTTTAAATGATATAACTGAACAGGCAACAACGGAGTAGAGACCACTAACTATAATTGCCAACATTGGTGTTTTGTTGCTACCTGATACAGCTGCAAACACACTAGGAAGTAGTCTGTCTCTAGCCATGGAGAAAACGAGTCTTGAAACTTGGTATAAACACGACAAATTTACTTGAATCAGTCCGACAGTCATCCCTACTAGTATGACGTACCTCATCCGACTGATGTGAGCATATTGAACTGCAGCCATTAGCGGAGCTTTGGTATCAAATAACCGGTATGGCTGCAGCATTAAAACTGATACAGTCACGCCACAGTACAGTAATCCGACAAATATCATCACAACAATAATAGCTATTGGTATAGATCTTTTAGCATCTTTTGCTTCTTCTCCGGAAGAACATACTGCTGAGAAACCTGTATAAGCAAAGTAGCAAATTGCTGCTCCTCGAAGTATACCAGAAATGTGAATTGGCATCGCACTGTGTGACTGGAAACTTACAATGTTGTGAACATCGCCATACTGAAGTCCACAGATGATAAAAATTAGCAGTGCCAATGTTGATATGACAGTGGTAAATTTTGTGACGTTAAAGAGATTGGTGGTGCCAGAAATGAGTATACACGATGACAAAACGATAAGCGCTGTTGCTGGTACGTTAAAACTATAAGAATTCGTTGAGGAAAGTAATGCAAAAGATCCAGAATTGCTTGTATTTGTTACATTAGAAGTCACAATCCATTTGGTTTGATCCAAAATTTGGTTTATATAAGAACTAAATGTCTGAGCACCTAAACTTATACTAGAAACGCCACCTACAAAGACAAGCACGTAGTAAATCTGATAACAAGCAATATTTATTACACGAACTGTTTTTGTATCGTTGATGTGCCTCCTAAGAATTGCGAAAGACTCAAAACGCTGCAATGATTTTTCATTAACAGTCATAATACTATAAAATACTACACCCAAAGACGTACCATGTAAGCTCAACCAGCCAACTAAGAATCCTTGAGTTACTCCCCATGATTTAAACATGAACGTAAAGATGCCACCACAACCTTTATATCTGCACGATAGTTCAGAGTAGGCGAGGGAATTGCTGAAAGCTATTATTCCAGCCAGAACAAAACATAGGATAACGTAGGCACCTGGAAATATATAAGCAGGTATTCACGTGAAGCGTGATTAAAAGTTTCGTATTAACATAGTTTTTAGAAATTGTTTCTGATCGGTTAAGTTAGACTTAAGGTGCGGGCGCACGAGCTGTCTTGGTCGGAGACTTTTGTCGCCGATTAGAGTCTTGTCTTGAGATTCGACGAATGGCACGGGTACACGAGGAGAAAAAAAGTCCCCAGTCGGTCGATTTCCACCGTGTCGATAATCACGTGCGCAGCATGCAATTGAAAGATACAGGAATATGATTGGATGACGACGGTCTGTCTTGCAGACAATAAAACTATCAGAGACAATTATCAAACTTGTTTGATATTATAAATCTTGTCGGCGACACGATAATCTTGTCGTACCTGTACCCCGTCTATTCGTGGCTTAATGCAGGCTTCACACTGACCCGATATTGACACCAGATGGCCATACGAATAAGGAAAGATGAATTTCGGGCGAAGATAGCACCGAACTAGGACAGCAGCCAATATAAGGCCGAGTACGATGCACGCAGAACGTCCCACATAGAAGGCAGGATGGCTTTTTATTCAATGTTCTTCATTGCTATTTCTTAATTCTTAATTCTGAATCCTTATCTCTTAATTTGCACGCTTAATTCACCATTTGTTATTGAAAATTGACATTTGTGTACAAAAATCATAATTTGTACTGAAAATGAACATTCTTTGATAAGCATTCTTTTTTTCAATTATTCAATTAATAGAATTCATGCCAAAAATATCCTCAAATACAAAACTACCAATTCAAATCTACCTCATTATATCTTCCAATGCAAAACGTCACACACAAACTCTACCAACAAATGTTCAAATACAAATGTTCGATAACAAATCTCGCTCAACAAATCTTGCGAAACACATCTCCAAATACATGCCGAATATATTTGAAGGTCATGGTTATGACGACAGATGTCGCTGCCATTCCGCCTTCAATACCCACGATTGCACCATAACCGCACACTGAGTGGGCTTATGAAGAAGTCACTTCATAATGAGAATACGATGCGTTCGAATGACCGATGATAGAAGACTTTTAGACGACCGTGGAAGCAGACTGTAGAATAGTCAGCAACAACCAACAAACGCGAGTTCGTTGCTGATCGGGAATCTTTGGGAGTAGTACACACTGTACATTTTGAAAATTATTTAAAATTCGACAGTCTTCACCGGGGTCCCATTGTGATGCCATCGCACTATGATACGATGGATCCACGATGGACCCGCGACGGCTTTGCGAGGGCTTCACTTAGTCGTGAGACCTTCCTAAGACAATTGGACAACTTCGTGTTTTATTCATGAGTTGAAAAACGCCCGACAGCACAGAAAATAATACGAAGTAAAGCCGAAGACGACAATTTTGAAAAGCTGCTCTAACGATGGCCTAAACGAAGGGTAAAATGGACGCACGAATTCAAAACGAAAATGGATGTCGCATCCTTCGAAATTTTTTGGCATGCCAAAGATGTAACTATCAAAAAAACTCAACCGTTGGTCATGCGATGGCTAAGGATATCCTCAATGGCCCAATATTGATACGATCAGACCCGAAATTTAACATTTCTTTTATCGTGTGTCATTTTCGGCACAGTTTGACGTGGACATAAGGTAGTGTTCCATTACAGTTCAATTTGATCACAAACACTTAGGCTACTCTAAACAGTAATCATATAAGTGGATCAACATGCTGGAGAGACACATAATTTGATATCACAAAACTTCCACATTACCTGCATGTTCCTTAGCCACAACTCCTATAACAATGTATATCCCACTTCCAATAGTTGATGAAACACCCAAAACAACTAATGATGTCGTAGACAAATGGGACTTCAAGTTGACTCTTTTGACTTCTTCATTTTCTTCGATCATGATATTTGTACAAGAAAAGACTTTTGTATGTACTTGTTTCTTATTTCGTTTATAAATTTATGAACAGATGCTACCGTGTTTTATAACTTTCTTATTGATTCCTCAACCTTGAAATTTGTTTACATGGCACAAGTCCAGTGGACTAACAAAAAATATATACACTTTGACATGTGACGTGCTGTTGGTATATAAGGTTTTATAAGAGAAACTCTCTTATAGAACCCCCAAGAAATAACTTCCACTGCGCTTCCTGAAAATTGATTGAAAACGACACACAAAATTTACAAAGCAATCTTTTGAAGGTCAAAGTGTGTCATAAATCGGTTAATGGTACTACAGCATTTGCATCCAATATACACATAGGCCTACAACGTTTTATCACAACTGAATCACAAAAGATTTAATTTAGTTACAGAAAAATTGGAACTATGGTCAGTGAGTTTCTTCATTTGCTTACTTTATCTAAAATCCAACAATGGAAAGTACATCGGGAGCATCAGCCCCTCCTTTCCCCGTAATCTAATTTTAGAAAGTTAACCTACATTTCAAAAGCTGTTCTGATACACATGAATAAGACGATAATTTGACTTCATGTCTAAACTTTGGATAGAAACCTAGCTGTTCCCATTATGATTTTTATACAAGTGTTTGCAGCATGCCGACTTAGTTGTCGTTAGAAACCTAGCTGTTCTTATGAGAATTTTTATATTAAACATGTGGCAGCATATGCAATAAGCTCTTGTCTTATATATGTAATCACAGTAATTTAATCATGGTGGAAGGCCTTATCATCCCTTCTGGATTCGCTGTATACCGACCGACTTGACGATATTGACTGGACCATCAAATTACAGTTAATAGTTGAAACAAAATACATGAGAAGCTTCGAATTCTGAAAGAAGGGTATGTTACACTGATCTTGTTCTGCTATTGTTCTGATGCTATTTGGTTCTGAATCTGATCTGAATGTTATTTAAAGGGGCAGAATCGCCATTTTCGGGTTTTGATTTGGGCCTCGAATAAATTTAAATTGCCTCTGAATTACTGTAAATTGTTAAAAGATCGCAAAATTCGTTTAAAATCCCATTACTAGTTCTTTCTGTTTCTATACATCTCTTTGCTATATGTTGCAGAGTCTCAAAAAACGCGGATATTTCTGGACACAATTTGGAGGTTCAAATTTCGACGTCGACCACTATGACTGATTAGCTTTAAACAAGAAAAAACCTTTTTTGAGACTATGGCCCGAACCTGGGGTGGCGAACTTGTCCGTTTAAGCGAAGCTTCAAGATAGCTTGCCAGGCAACGTAATATACGCCCACTGGCAGCTTTCATAAAAAATATTTAGCAGTACAGTAACAATCATCAGTAAGAAATATTCAACCTTCAGTCACACACTTCTTTTGAACTCTTAGGGGCGATACTGAATAAAATGGAGTATGAGTTATTGCCCTTGTTCTTGAAAACGTGTTCAATTTTTAGCTCGTGAAAACACTAGAAGGCAAATATTCAACCTTCAGCGCGGTACTGAATAATTATAGAGGGGGATCGTTGCCAAAAGAATTCACAAAGTCAAACTCGAAAACAAGTACACCTTAATATGTTAGATTGGCATCTCAGGACCTCAATGGCACCAACAATTGCATTCATAATTCCAAAGGAGGCCATTGGAAAAAAAATTGCCATTTTTCAATATCCATATTGGATATCCGTCACGGGCTCAAGAAATTTTGACAACTATGTAATTATTCTATTCATTAGACGACTTTTTTCGTTTTTTGATTTAATTACAACAATTACAATCAATCCAAAAAATTAGTGTATCCATCGGCCACAAAAATTGGCCGGTCACTGAAGTAAGGAGTGTCAATTGACCAATGCCGCATTTGAACATCCGGTTTTGAGGCTTATTTAGAGTTAGATCACTTTGACATGCAGCAATTATTGATTTATATTTCCGTTAGTTTCCGTGAATTTCCGGATGATGGAAATGAAGTAGGTCACGTTACCTTATATGGTTAACGTTCCAGAATGCAGAAGTTGACTTTACAACTCTCAAGAATACAGTGGTCGAACTTACAGTGGTGTAACCTATTTTCGTGGATATAAGGATTCAACACTGAATTTCGTCATAGTTAAAAAACACGTTGTATGGATACCGGGTGGTATAATTAACCTCTCTTAGTATTTATCTTTAATATCAATTCATTATAACTAGTGTCAATTCCTTCAAAGAACCACGATTTAAAAAAAAATAGTGACTGACAAAATAAGACACGTAGCGTGATTTATTGCTAAAAGTCACTGAAACATAAGAATACGGTCCACTTTGTGTTCCATAGAAATTTTCTGCTGACACGGAATCCGCTAGTTGATCACGTGACTTCATTCGTTGGAATGTAATCTAGCAGACGACACTTGGAATTCCGATTACCGCTTGGGATTATAAGGAAATTCGGCCGATAAAAAATGGTATCGTTTGGTAATAAGTGAAATCCGCCATTTTGTATTTGTCAAAGTATACATTATTACATTTTACCTTGCTTGAAACTACTGGATTCATTCTACTAGCTGATATTGTAGATAAAACCCATGTTTATCAAAACAAACTAATGCGGAGGTCGCGCAAGGTCGCTCAAGTAAATTATTAATCCTTTCCGGAAATCCACGAATAATAGGTTTCCACGAAATTAGGTTACTTGACTGTACATCTTTCACGAATGCAAAGTCAAGAAGACATAGTTGATAATGTCAATAATGCAAAGTTAAGAATTCATTTTCGTTAAGGAAAGTTTGAATGGTGTCTGATGTGAAATAAAGTTTGAAAAGTAAACTATCAATATCTCTACTTTGTAATTAGTACATTGACTTTTTGATTTTAGGAAGGTTTATTTTGTAATTGTGTAATGTTGAAATATGACTTTGTAAAGTCGAGGCCTTGTATTCAAGTTTGACTTTGTAAATACTTGTGGCAACGATCCCCCTCCATACTGAATAAAACCAAGTTTTGTCAAAATCCGACAAGAAACATGACTTCTAGAATGTTTACGAGCTAAAAATTGAACACGTTTTCAAGAACAAGGGCCCGAATTTCTAACCTAGTTGTGAGATTTTTGCCCGAAAAACATGCCTTCGGGTGACCTCTTTGTCCCCCCTTTTGGCTCTGCCACTGCTATTGAAGAGCTTGCTCAGACAATAATCCTGGATTTATTTGGGCCAAAAGACAACCTTTTATGATGGCATTTAATTATTTGCAATTCCAGCCAACTTTACACAATATAATTTATAGTATTTCTAAATCAGGGGTTTTCAGCCTTTTCCTTTCTATTACCCCTTTCAGAATCTTTCATCGATTGCGATATCTAGTGGTCCTTTTCCAATAAAGATTCTGAATAAATAAAGAAGACTTGGTAGTAAAATAAATGTGGTTTTATTGCTAAGTGTTAAATAACTGGTTGTTATCACATATGTATACTATTTGGCATAATGTGTTCATATAGATAATCTTTGGCACAAATACTTATCTAGGAACTAGGACAATAACATAGTTTACAACTATGACTTTTAATAAATTATTTGAAATGTTGTAGTATCAAAATATAATCAACTATTATCTAAATGGTTTACAGAAACAAAAGACAAAAGTAACACTAACAGAGAAGCAATTTGCTTAATATTTTGTTTTTCTGATGCACAAGATCTGAAAAGTACTACCAAACACCTTGTTGCTTCAATTAGATACCATCAAGCTGATGTCTGTCCTCTGATTGTCACAGAGAATAAAATTACATAAAGCAGAGTATAAATCATTTGCATAACATATACTAGTTTGACTAGTGCTGATCTAATCTGAACAAAAGTTTCTATTGTATAATTCAATGAAGGCAATTTGAAATATATTTATGTAACAGTAAATATTAACTGTGAATTATCAATCTAACAAATACATACATTGCATAGGGTATAAACTATATATGGAATTCATATTCTATAAAAACTATAACAATTGCAAGGACACCTTGTCATCCTTGTTGGTCTATCACACTGTGTGAACAAATTCTTATTACTAGAATGGTATATAACAACCAAAATATCTCACAGAAAACTGAAAAGAACATATATCCCTTCTAAACTCTGGTACTCTGTAAAAGAAAAATTGTTGCCAAATTAAACTGAATTCAGGCTCATAATGACAATATATTTTACAATTATATGACTAAATAAGTCAGGGATCAAACAAAGCCGATAATTTACAAATAAAATTTAGTGGTACAGACTTAAAATAATAAAACCTTCTACCAATTATTATTCATGAAAATTATTCCAGATAATGGTTTAAAAGAAATTTGATAATTTTAAATGTAACATTGCATAAAATATAATTTATAACAGTCAAATTCAACCTTTTTAACAGAAAAATCAAAGGATACATAATACTTTCTAAGCATATTATCATCACAAACTTACTATATTAACAAAGATATATGGTATTAACATATTGAAATATTTTCCTTGTTTGAATTAAGGGACATTCTTTACACAAACAAATAAATTGCCACTGTTCATATACTTTTTCTATATTTCATAGACACAATTTAAATCTAGTTAATAAAATTATTATGGGACTAAAATGGACTTTCACTAAAAGTTTTATGGAGTAAACAAAAATTTTTTTTCTGCAAAAATGCAGTCCTCATTTACAATGAGTTAAAAGTTTAGAATAACTATCTAATGCATACTAAGAATGTTTTTAAAGAACAAAGTATTGCATATTGTGCATGTACAAACATTGGACGGACAATAATGCATTTTCTTCACAAGAATATGCAAGCACAATTTAACAATACTGTTAAAACAATTTAACAATTATAATGACCAATCCTCTACAAATATATACATATACAGTCTAATACCGTACTTATCTATGTGTTCCCTAAATTTATGCTTTAAATTGTTGATAACAATAATAACAAATATATGTGGTGTGGAATGCTATCTATCGTGACTTTACAAATACATGTATACGTATAGTTCTAACTAGTTTAACAATAATAATAATAATAATTATTGCAAGTTAAATGCATGTAAGATGTCTACAAGTTTAATGTATAATGGTAATAATAAGAGGTGACCTCAGTGCATAGATAATCATTTATATAACAATAAACTAATACTATTGTATGATTAAAACATAGTCTCAATCATTCATTCAAAAAGCACTTTCTAATAATAGTGGATTTCTTTACAAAATAAATATGACACAAATGATGAACCTGGATTTACCGGTCATCTTTCAGTTCTTTTTTCCACCTATAAAAGGTTCTAATTGATACACGTGGAAAATGAGATGTGAACTCATTAAAATCCATGGTAGGATTCTGTTGTAAATAACAATACTCTTCTCGTTGCCGCTTACGAAATTTAGGAGAATAAATTTCATCACAGTTAGTACTCGGACTCATTGATGTCATAGGACTAGACAGAGGCCTTTTGGGTAAATTAGCATTGGTAGGAAATATTGAAGCACTAGAAGCTAAGTTGTGGGTTGAGTTCTCGTGTTTTATTCCAGGATTCATTATGTAAGGTGATGATGTTGAGGTCAAGATTTGAGAATACATTGAAGAGTTGGGTGTTATACCATAGTTGATATAATTATTAGAATACTGATGTAACATTTGTTGTATGGTATTACTGGTATCAGTAAACTGGGATTCACCCTCTCTCTTCATATACTTCTCTTCCTTCTCATAACTAGAGTTCAATAAGCGTTTTTGACTACAGTAGTTAATGGGTGAAGCTGGTGACTTGACTGCTGTCTCATTGACTTCTCTATCTTCCTCTTCCTTCAACACTGTATATCTACTAGATGTCTGGCTCTCAAAACTATCTTTACTAGATTCAGATGCTACAACTTGTTTCTGATCTTCTCCATTGGATTGATGGTTCACATTCCACCAATTTCCACCACCACCAGCATTACGTTTACTCGAGTTGACTCTTGCTTTCTGTTTCCAAGTAACAAATACATCTTCAGATACTTCTGGGAAGAGCTTGCTGAATCCCTTGAAATCTGCATCATGATTTATTTCTAGATACTCCAATTTTTCTTTCACCTCCTTCTTCCATCTATAGAAAGTCCTGCCAGATATAGTGTTAAACATTTCATTGAGTTCCTGAAAGGTCATGTAAGGATTCTGGATAAAATAATGGTACTCTCTTAGATTGACCTTCCTTGATCTTGGGGTCAAAGTCTTCAATGATTTAAAGTAAGTAGAATTAGTAAGGGTTGAATTGTTAATTTCGTTGTTATTCATTTCTGTAGAGGACAAAGTGTGATCTACATCTTCTGCTGTTTGTTGGTAAAAGGATTGATCTGCAGTGTCAGATCGACCATTAATATTCTTTATGGCTGCCTTTCTCCATTCATTAAAAATCTCCTCTGGTACCTCTTGACAGTATATCGAAAATATATTATAATCAATGTGAGGACTGCTCATTACTAATGATATCCATCTATGAATGTCATTTCTCCACTTGTAGAAGTTATATTGTAAGGTATTGGGAAACATGACATTAAACTTTTCAAAGTCAATATCTGGATTTTCCAATATATATCTAAAATCTCTTCTTTCACATCTTGGTAAATCATCCATTTCAGGACTTGATAGGTCTTCAGGTTTTGAGGAGGAACTGCTACCATCCTGTTCATTATCGTCATGGTGGGTGTAAGTTTCTGGAATACTGGATGGTTCAGATTGTCTCTCATAGTGATTTTCTACCATGTTTGGTGATTCAGTAGGGCTTTCCTGTTGTCTTGGAATCACTTGGTTTTGGCCTAGATGATCATTCTGATCATGTTGAAAGTTGTCCATAGCTGTTGAAGCAGCATTTATGGCTTTTTTCCAACGATTAAAATTACTCTCCAAAACTTCAGGGAAAAATTGAATGAATGAATTGTAGGATATTTCTGGTTGACTTCTAACAAATTCGACAGCTTGCAATATCTCTTTCTTCCAGCGATACAGAGTTCTCTTGGATACACTTGGAAAAGCACTGATAACTTCTTGCAGATCCACAAATGGATTTTCTTGTAAACATAGATACTCTGCTCTGGCTTGTTTTCTCTGTTTATTATGACTAGGATTAGATTTACTATCAGGACATTTTTCTTCTTCAATAGGATCATCTTCACTGCTTGGTATTTTTTCATTATCTTTTTCAGCATAATGTTTGGGACTAAGAAAATGATTGCGATCTTCATTTTGTTTGATATTGGTAGCAACCTGGTAATATTTCCATCTGTTAAATACATCTTCACTTATATCTGGAACAATAGACTGAAACTTGTCATAATTCATATCAGGATTAGTACAGATTAGATTCATGCAGTCATTAATATGTTGTTTCCATTGATTAAACTGGTCTTCTGTAACATTGGTGAAAATAGTTTCGAAATGGTCAAAGGAAATCGTAGGATTCAGCTGTACATATTCAAATTCTTCACTTCTCAGTAAAACTTTGGATGTTGATTCATCTACAGCTTTGTGTTTACATTGTTGATATTCAAGTGGTTTATATTGAGGTATTTTAATGATATCAGTTGGGTTATCATTCTCTAATACTGCCTTCAATATCCTGTTAGGTTCCCGTATTGCTATATCCTGAGAGTTTGCTGTTGTACTGCTACCTGTATCATGAGGTCGCCAAACTTTCTGAGGTGAATTTCTTATTTTATTTTTCTTTAGTTTCCAACTTTCAAATATATCTTGAGGAATATTTGGAAAGTCTGAGCATAATTCCTCATAAGTATAGCGTGGATTATCTGACAATAAATTTTGAGCATCCTTCACCTCTTTCTTCCATCTGTAGAAGGTTCTATTAGAGATATGAGGATAGTGAAGGTTGAATTCAGAATATGTGATATCAGGATGATAGATAAAGTACATATATTCATTCTTATTCTGCTTCTTCAGGGTATTATCTGTTGGTATGGGTGATGAGTTGTCTGGTGAAGAAGATGACAGTGAAGATTTATCACACTCTTTCATGTTATTGCACAAAACTTGGGTTAGGGACTGGAGCTTTGATAATGATGATTGTTGAGTGGTTTGTTTAAGTAACTGTTGTTGGGCTTGCAATATAGATTGAGGATTAACAGCTGCTAAAGATGGTTGTTGCCATTGATTTGGTAAATATTGGTGATGAGCTTGGTTCACTGCTGCTTGCATTAAAGCTGGATAAAACTGTCCACCAGAGGTACTTGAAGCCATTGCCTGGTTGATAAGTGCATTATAAGCTGCAAATCCTGCAGTGCCCATAAGCATAGGATACTGTTGAAGCATAGCACTTTGCATAGCATATAAATCAGCTTGTGTTGGTTTATCACACCTTTCTTCTTTAACTGGTTTCACAACTTTCTGAGCATTTATCATCTGAGCATATTTCTTCCAAGCATTAAAAGCATCTTCAGTTATAAACTTATACTGCTTTACAAGTTCAATATATTCTAGGTTAGGGTTCTGTTCCACATGAGATATAGCTGATAATACTTGTTGTTTGTAAGACAAAAAAACTTCATTTGATATCATAGGATGAGTGTAAGAAAATTCTTGAAAAGACATGTGAGGATACATTTGTAGTAGAGCTAATGAAGCATTGTATACTTCAGGTTTTTTACTACTAGGTAGGCTTGGTGAGGTGTCTGAAGGACTAACATGAAGAGAGGAAAACCTATGTCCATCTTTAATAAGTTTCTTCCAAATTTCAAAGACTTCAGGTTTTGCATGTGAAACACACGCACAGAATTGTTCAAAAGTTAAGTCTGGATTCTGTTCCAGAAATATAAACTCATCTTTAATCTTGCGTTTCCATCTGTAGAAGGTTCGTTGTTGTATATTCGGGTAGCGTGCTGTTAATTCGTAGAAATCACAAAAAGGATTTTTCTCTAAATGTTCATACTCAACTTTATAAACTATCTCTCTTCTTGTATTACCATTGAGGTAAGATGGTGAGAAATGAGTACCGGAAGCTTCTTTATCCAACGGTTCCATTTCTGAAGATTTTCTCTTTCTATTGCTTTTAAACATATTATCAGGGGACTGAAATGTAACATGAAAGTCATAAAATTTAAATGCAAAATGTATTGGTATCTCATAAAACACTTATTCAGACCAGTGCATGAAGCAATAATTGTGATATTGACATCAAATTCTTCTATATATCTTTATAAACTTACTGTGTTTCAGTCAATGTCACTTCAGGGACATATTTTTTATATTTTTCAATATTTTCACATCTAGCTATCTTGATATAATTATTACCTATCAGAAACACTTGTCAAGAGCATGGATGAGGTCCAATCAATTAGAATCAAATCTAGGTCAAGGAGTTCAAGAAATACATGCAAAGTATATGGTATCGATTATTTTTGACACAATCAAATACCAGATCTCTTTGAACTTTTTCTAAAACCCCCCAAAACATTACGCATCAACTCAAATGCTATTAGAATTATTTCAAAGAAGAATCAGATATTTTGCTGTTATCTTATAGATATCTAACTTTTGTTTTGACAAGTGTGTGATAGTTTCTTATTGTGACTTAATAAAACGTACCTGGAAATTATCTGGTGTTTCTGTTTTAACTATAGATAAATCTAAACCAAGACAGGATTCTGGTGGTATCTGTATGTCTAATTGTTTAAAATTAGTGTGGTCACCACTTACTTTCTCTTTACTAACATCAACTTCTCTATATAAAATAAATATGAATATTTTTAAACGAATAAATGAGCTTAAAAAAGAAAATATTCTGTGTTTGTCCATAATGAACTGAAAAGTGAATTGATCGACTCGTATCATGTCATACCTCACACAATTCACTGACTGCAGCATTGATATTGAACAGACAAGTAAAAACAATAAGTCTGCAGAACTATACCTCTCATTATCTATCTGTATATCTTTATCTATATCTTCTGGAGCTGAAACTGTAAAATCTTGTTTCTGTGGTATATCTCTATTATGGTTGTTGCACATTTCTGGTTTTGATTGAATTGAAGGATAAGATAAATTTTCTTTGGTTTCAGGTGTTTCTTCAATAAATGCATTATTTGAAAAAGAATTATTATTGCTTAGTGAATTATCACATTTTGATTGGGAAATATTGCCGTCAAGGGATAAAGGTAGCGAAGTATCTTGAGTTGTTTCACTGGTATCACAGATTACTAGTTTATTGATGCTATCATCAGCTGAATCTTCTGTGGTTTCAGCATGTACATGGTCATCATCATATTGGTTTAAGCTGGCAGTGCCTTGTATTGTGTTTTCAGTATTGGTGTAGATTCTGGGATGGTCTGAATACAAATCTACATCATGTGTAATGGGACTACTGAATATTTGTACATTTTCTTTATGATTTTTATTTACATCATATTCTTCATCACCAACAGAAATAAAAGAGGAATCTCTTTCATCAGATTGTGTGGAATTATTCAATTCTTTGCTTTCTTCAGATTTCTTTTCATTACCATTTTCTAAACCAATGTCTTTTCCAGTTTCTTCACCAGTACTTTTATCTTTGTTTGTGGGACTAAACTGGTTAGTTTCCATGAAATCTTCACCTATTCCATGATCACTCTCATCATTTTCACTGTCATCAATGTAATTTTCATCTTTTGAGCACTTTTTATTCATCGAAAGATCATTATGCTTATTATTGATGCAGTCCTTATTATTTTTACCTAACTGGAACATAAATGGTTTATGTACCATCTCTTTAATACTAAAGTTTTCTTTTTTTCCATTATCAACTTCAAGACAAATAAGACCAACCACCTGAACACAATCTCCAAAACTATAATATCGATGACAAAGTTTGTGAATACTTCGAACTAGAGCTGGGAAAAACTGACTAGGATTTTTTTGACGTTCCATGTTGCTCTCATCCTCTGCTGACTTATCTTCATGTAACCTGAAAAATATAAGGGACACGGTATTAATTATTTCAGAATGGAATTAAAAGGTTATAGATATGGTGGATGTAGATTTTGTTTTGAAAAGTAAATATTGACTGGAGAGGAATTTACAGTCTGTTTAACTGCAACTTATTGAGCTGACAAATACAAGCATAATAATATTTTCAGCAATTGAGGGATCTGATGAAAATGTTTTGTTGTATTTTCAGACCATGATCTGATTAAATTCTTCCTTAAATCTTGTTTCACTATATTCGTTTCTCTTTCCTTTGATGTGAATCACAATAAATAAAAACTGCTCTGATTTTATAGAGCACTTAATTGCTTTCTTTCTCTGGCAAAAATTTCACAAAGCTAAGAAGACTGAAAGCTTATGGTACTGCGAAAATTTGATATATATCCTAAGAAACCCTTCCTTTCAGGGAAAGATAATTTATCTATTGTGCCACAACTTTTTTTATCTGCATGCACATTCCAGTCAAAAAGAATATAAATTTAAGGAGTTTAAGAAGCATATGGCTTACAATAGACACAACAAAAGAAAAACAGGTATATCAAAACAACCGACCTGGATTTGTAATACTAGGACATTAAAAAATTATTCATCTTATCACTGAATATTAAGGTCATTTTCAACAGTTGTCATATGCATAAACAAATCTGTAGCTAAACATTCCAAAACTAGAATTGTCATTCGGCATACAATTTTCTACTTTATTAGATGTGACAACTGATAATACAATGAAAAGGGTTGGTTGAAGAATGTCATAAATTTGTTTCGAGTTAGATGAATTGCCTATATCTTGAATTTCAAAGAGTACCGGTATTGGTGTTTTTTTTTTTTAAATTACAGCCAATATAACAATAAAATTATTCAAGGAAGCATTCAATCTTGATCAAAATGGTCAGAAGTGTCTATTCCAAGAAAAGCCCTGCTGAATACAAGGTAGGCTAGTCTATGTTCAGCAAAGAGGCCTTGGGGTAAAACTATAGCATTAACCTATTAAATAATATAACCTACAAATCTACATTATAACAAGATAAAAATGTTAAAACACACAAATAATATATTCTCTCACCTTACAAAACTAGTGTCACAATAAACAGATAAATATATTATGATGACCTCATTTTGAAGAGGAAATTTGCACAAAACAGTTTATAGGTTGTTTAATGTTATACCGTTAAAATGACACAGTGTGCAATGAGTACACATACTGTCACGTGACACAGCTTATCAGACTGGCTGAGTGACACCCCGTGTGACATGCTTTGTTTAGGGCGGTATCAACTCTAAAGCTTACAGTGTCTATTCACTCCATTGTTCAACAATCATTGTTTCCAAAACAATACTCAAATTAGTTTATTTAGCTACACTATAGATTACCCAATACATTAGTACACCGATTAAAATCCTTTGATGTTTACTGTAATGAATGACATAGCCTAATTCAGCCACATTTCGATTAAATACTTATAACGATTAGCATGTCAAATACCAACATCAATGACTGTCTGCACATGCGCGTTGGCATTTCCTCATCATGAATGAACTGTTATTTCTGATTAGAATGCCACCTAACTGTCGGGTCTGACAAAAGAATACACTCAGTAAACCACGACAATATGAAGTTAATTTATGAATTTACCGAAAAAGAATGTTAAAATGATAAAATAACATGGTAATTACCCGCATTCGTCACAGTTGTTGGCATGGGCCTCCATCAAATGCCATGCAAGGCTCGAATCCTTGAGCCCCAGTTGTCCTCCTAAGCGTTTCCATCTCTCATAAGAACTAGCTAAATACACCCGACTAGCATCACGTTTCTTGTAAGCTTCTTGTTGTCGTTGTTTTTTGTCTGTGTCAGATATCGGAGGCCTGCCAAGTTGTCGGTGACAAGATTTCATGTCAGCAGTAATGGTGGCAGCCATATTGGCATTATTGCTTAGGACTGACCTGACTTGACCGCGCATGCGCTGTATCTATTTTGTCACTACAATGTAAACTCATCAGTGTCACGAATGACACCTGCCATATCTCTTCAAACATTAAAAATATTTCAGTATTATAGCTGCATATTTTGTTACACACCCCACATTTGTCTGGGATAAAAATAATGAAAAGTCTTTATCGTGACACAGAATTTGGCAAGGAAAATTGTCCTATTTTGTTAATGCCAATGAAGACTGAAAACTAAAAGGAATATGTATAATAATAAGTGCTGGGATGGCAAGCATAATGATGGTCTAACATACTTTGGTATCACCAAAATTTACGCTAATTAACGGATTTGGTATTGTACCACTGAACAATTTCTAAAATTACAACAAATTTGTCAATTGTTTCCATGATATGTAGAATGGCTTGCACTATATTTGTGAAGGAATAACCCAAAGAAACCAGGTGAATAATAAAAAAAAAAAATTAAAGGTAACTGAAGTCCAAAATCTTGGCTACACATCGAAGTTCGTTTAGAAAAAAATAGCATATCTTAATATGGAGTTTAAGGTTTTATAAGAGAATTTAGCTGTAGAATTGTAGGTGGCAATTGTTATGTTTGATACCTGCAACTTTATTACGAAATTACTACAGCAAATAGCCTAAAGTACTCAAGACAGATGATATAAATCAGGATTGTAAAGGAGTTATTTCTAAATTGTGGATGTGTATTGAGGACACAGATAACACACATTTGCACCATTCCAATTTTGAATCAGACGTCCATGGTTCCTGCATTTCCACCAAAACTATGACGCCAGTAATCGCGAAGGGCCTTATGTGATAAAGCATATTTTGCGATTAGTGACGCTATCAAACACTTAGTTTTAATGGAATTGTAGGAATCACAGATGTCTGATTTAAGATTGAAATAGTGCAAATTGATGCTATACCTGTCGCGTATTGTAAGAATATTTCAAATTTTATCTATCAATGCTGAAGAAAACAGTTATTGGATGTTGAAGTCAAGGGCAATAACTCAAAAACCGTTCATCGATAAATCGTCCAATTCGAACTTGACCAAGATCTCATGAATATAAATCGTCACACCAAATTCCATTCAAATAGGATGAAACTGTAGTCTCTATTGTGTTCACAAACAAATTTTGAAGCGTTTTTACAAAGTCAAGGGCAATAACTCAAATACCGTTCATCGAAATTGCGTCAAGTTGTCCGAGATCTTATCAATTCTAATGAGCACACCAAGTTTCATCAGAATTGGTTGAAAACTGTAGCTTCTATTGTGCTCATGAACAAATTTTGACGCGTTTTTATAAAGTCAAGGGCAATAACTCAAAACCATTCATCGAAAATGCGTCAAGTTAGAACTTGTCGGAGATCTTATCAATTCTAATGATCACACATCATTTCATCACAATCGGTTGAAAACTGTAGCTTCAATCCTGCTCACGAACCATTTTTAACAAAATTTGACGCGTTTTTATAAAGTCAAGGGCAATATCTCAAAAACCGTTCATCGAAAATACGTCAAATTCGAACTTGACCGAGATCATATCACTCTAAAGCATCACAGATAAAAACTGTAGTCTCTATAGTGCTCACAAGAAATGTTGACGGACGGACCGACGGACAGGGGCGACGACAATATACGACCACATATTCATGTGGGCGTATAAAAATGGGCCCGTGGATGCGAATGAAAATTCAGTTTTCAACTGACTTTTTGTGTGAACTTTTTTTCTTTGATAGTCTGGGCTGTTGAAAATTTATATGGCAGCTTTTAAGTATAGGCTACTATCAGAATTCAAACCATATTTATATAAGTGAAATAAACATAATAACTTCAGTGAGGAGAAAATCATTTTATACTTGGATAATTTATTATTTCCAACATATAAATAAGATAATGCACAAGGGCTAAAAAGTCCAAAATATCACAAATAAAAATATTTGAACTATAAAAGTAACTTAGTCTCTTAAAGCAAGTAATACATGTATGCCATGCGAACTAAATCAGTCATTAGATATAGTTCAAGGTAAGGAGGTCTCCAAAGCTCCTTGGTTTAAAGAGAACAATTCAATTCTTCAAGACTCATCGGAAAGTCATATCCCTCATAATTTGTAATAAAAAAGTGACATAGCCACAGATGGACTTTATTTTATATTTTATATACCAATTCCACTTTCTGAATAAAAATTACATGCAAGGTTGGTTTGTATACAATATAAGCTGAGGAAGATGAGTCTATAGTATACTATGGCAGGGTAGTCGTGCCATAAATCGATGCTTTGTATAAATGTCTTATTAACCCATAAAATCTTATGATTTGGGAATTATTCAGATATTATCATTAACCATGTAGCCTAACATTTAACATCTACACACAAATTTTTTTCAATATCTGCTTAAAGGGATTGTAAAGAGGTTTTCAAAACCTATATATTTTTATCGGGGACACTGATAGCATCAATTTGCACCAGTCCAACTTTCATTCCGACGGTAGGTAGGTAGGTAGATGACAAGTTAACGTTCGCTTCCAGCGGATGCTGATATCGCAAACTAGGTAGTTGTTGGTAGTCGTAGTAGTTGGTAGTTGGACGTCTGTTATGTAGGTCTTGTAGTTGTAATTCCACTAAAACTAACGTGTTTTATGACGTCACTTCTCTAGACAGGAACTGCATAGGTATCAATATTAGCTTCCGGTAGCTCCCCTCTAGTGACGTCATAAAACGCGTTAGCAAGAACCACAGACGTCAGAATGAAAATTGGAAAAACCTCTTTACAATCTCTTTAAAATTAGTCTACAAGACCACTTCACTTTTATACATAATAAAGAACGACCGAAGGTTTCCGTTTCAGGTCATTGAATACCAACAAAATGTGTAATTGGTGGAGCGTTTACCATTAGTTCTTTGTAACTGTTTACAAAATATACCATTCTATCAAAGTAGGCTTCTTCGTGATATGGTAAACCATTCTCTTTCAAGAATTTTGACACCAAAGGTTTGATTTTGAGACACATATTATCAGACAGCCGCGGGAATAGATGGTGTTCTACGTGACAACTTATGATTGAATGTCCAAAACTAAAATCCAGGATCATATTTCTACCGAGGTTCAGAACACCTGTTGACATTTGATAAATTTTCTTTGGTCGGTTTTTCTGGGAATACATAGCCAGTCCTATATGTTGAAAAATATTCACATGAATATAAGGTATGGACAACAAAGCACGGCTGATAAATGTGACTATAACGGCCCCCAATATAGAAAATCCTGACAGATGTATCAAAAAAGTAAAGTTAATTGCAAAGCCGGTGATTATAACAAGGGCACATCTGATTAACTTTCCCCACTTTCCAACAAGTTCACATAGCGCAACAAGTGGTGTAAGTATGGGTACCAATAAAGGTGCCAGGAACATATAGATATAGGAAGGCAAAAATGGTGCTTTCCATGTACTTGAGTCGCCCAGTCCGATGATGTTTGTGTGTGGGTGATGACCTTTAATATGGATTTCATTACCAAGTTCATCAGAGAATGATCCCATTAACTCAATAAACATAATACTCCAAAATTTGTTCCATTTCGGTGACTCTGTAACAGCACCATGAGCGGCTGCGTGAGCCCCTTTAACTGTTAGTACCGAATGACAGTAACCGTATACAACAATACCAATACCGAAGTTTAAATATGAATTTGTATTAAACAACCTGTAACTGAAAAAGCATCCCACAACAGCTGCTATATAGATCATCCAATCCACTCCATATTTATCCCACCAATTGCTGGTCCGAACTACTGCTTCTACCTTTTCTACCAATATCAAGAAATTTGGTAGTTTGTCAAGTTTTACATAATCAGTTATTTCGTTTCCTTCTCTGGATTTCCTGGAGAGGGAATTTGTACGGAGCTTCTTAGTCATGATCATCATTTGCTTCAGTCTCCGAAGCAAGTGCTGTCTTGTCGACTACACCTATACCTATATTGCAACCGATAAGATAACACATTAGCCTAAATGATGTCGTTATCACAAAACAATCGATATAATTTCAACCTGAATTTAAATATAGGCTATGAACTGACGTAGAGCTGGTCCCAAGTTCATCGGTAGTCAACCAAGCACAATTGTCCAGCAATAAGTTAAATGTATTTTCCATTGGCCATCAACATTCAACAAACCCGATTTGTTAAACTGTTCGCCAGCCTGACTTCGACCCTGTTCAAAGTTCATCAATTCTCAAAACCATAGAACTTGTATACTCAGTCTGCAAGCCTAAAACATAATAATGAGGGAGCAGTCCATGAATGGTTGGATTTAAAAGTCCATAGTTCGCCATATTTGAGCGTTGATTTGCGGCTTGAATATAATATGTAAGTAGTCTTCAGTGGTCTTGAAAGAAAGAAAATCGCATAAGCTAATCCCTTCAAATATATCTGTCACTTTCTAATTATATGTATATTTATCAAGTTCTTTCTATAGCGGAGTCTCAAGAAAAAAAACGAATTTTCATTTTGATTTTTCTAATGCGGAAAATTCTGGACACTCATGGATTTTAATGCTCAAATATCGACGGTAATCTGTGAACACTATCACCGTTTAGCCTAGCTAAAAAAAATCCCGTTTCTGATACTGAAGGTACAATTGGTTAATTGGTTGGTTAGGCCTATATGATTGTCCCTTTCATTCCTATGTGGTAGCCTACTTCTACTTCTAATTCTAGAAAAATTCTAATTAATCTCTTTAAATATGTATAAAATAAAATAACCCCTTTTGTCGCTCATGTCAACCCACAATTGCTCGTAATCACTCTAGAAGGAACCATTCTTGACGGAGTTTGATGAGACTCGGTGTTTACTTTCATCAAAAAAAATGGAAAATAGTAATACAAGTTATTTCTGTTGTTTTATTTTTCCTACACACTCTAAAGGAACGGATTCAGAAAGAAAAATTGAAGAAATGTTACATGATCCCATTGTAAACACTACCGGTATTGAAAATAAAAAGAATAGGAAAATACTTGAGCCTACTGCCCTAGTTCTCCGAAACCCGTGCAATTTTTAGCATCATTGACGCATTTTTATGAAACCTGCTTTTCTTTTTGGATTGATAAATAAATTTGTAGCTATGATAATATCAATATCCCCAACTGTTAAAAAGTGGACTACAAACAGTCTTTAAGTCTACAGTCAGACCACAACTTTTACGGAATTGCATAACCCATAATGGATTATCAATTCCAAAAATAGGCCTACTGAGAGTCTTAGATTTCTTTGAATTGAATACTACAGACGAATGGCATACATATTATTCAATTCTGAATCACACCAGAAGAAAATATGCCCCCGTCATAACTCATGGCTACATTGTCGGGACCATCTTCATTAGCCCACATGGTGCAGAAAAGTAGGACGTAAAACTCCATTCATTTCATTTCATTTACATTGTCGGGGTTTACTCGGTTTTCTTAATCAATGAATGCTCCCTGAAAATTCAAAGGTGAAGGTTGTTTAAATCCAACATGGAGTCGTGTACAGCTGTGGAAAGGGAACTGGATAAAGTTTTGGCAAAATTTAATGGTTTAAAGGACCACAGTAATAACACTTTGGATGAATTAGTATCTTCTCTACACAGTATAGGAAATGAACTACAATCAGGTTAGGTTTGATGGATGTTCCCTTATTTTCTAATGCTTGTTTATGTCTGATGCGTAAATTCAATTTCTTTGTTTTCATTTTGTTTGTTTACATTCATGGTCAGTAGATTTTTATATCAGTAGGCTACCTCCTAACTAAATTAAATTTATCTTATATCACGAATCATAATGTTTCCATTATATTTTTTACAGAACATGATTTAACACCAACACAAACAGAAATATTAACACAAACATTAAAGCGTGTCAGAGAATCAGTTCAAAGATTAAGCACAGAACATAAAGATCTTCATGGTTCAGTCTCTAAAGTTGGTAGATCTGTGGACAGGGTGAGCCTTCTTTAGAATTATATTGAATATTTCTCGTATTTTTATAAATGGATTGGAATTGACTATAGTATGTACATGGTCTCTTACAATTTAAGTGTATATGTATAAAGTTATGAAAATTAATGAAAGGGAACATCATGTGCTACATTTTTGCCCTTATGCTTATGGAAGAAAGGCAACATGGTAATTCCTTAAAGTTTTATTGATATTGATCTATTTTTGAGGCATAGGCCTACACAGGGTTTCATACCAGATTTGCAGGATGGCAATCTGGCATACTGTAAGTAAGGGTGTTGAAATCAGTCTTTTGACTAAGACATTCTATATAATATATATGCTTATCAAATATGTTTTCTTTTTCAGAATTTCATTTCTGACTTTACAGCAGTTACTCCTGATACTTTTGAAAATGAGAAAAATAATAATTTATTGAATGAAGTCATTTGTGAACACTTTTTGAGGCAAGGAATGCTTGATATAGCAGAGGCCTTAACTGAGGTGATATACAAAATATTCTATATTATGTAAATAGTTACTAGCATGGTACTATTATAGACTTTCTTACCTGATTTTACATGTCCTACATTATTATTATTTTTCCTCGTTTACTTTGATCCTGACAAGCTGTGAATCTGCACTCTGAATATTAAACATAATTTGGGGTTATTTTAACAGGATGCAAGGTTAGAAGTTGATAGTTCAAGAAAGGCACCATTCTTAGAATTACATAGAATTTTGGAGGCTTTGAAATGCAGAGACCTTGGACCAGCATTGGAGTTAGTATATTTTGTTACATGTTTTATTAGAATTCTGTTGATAGCTAGGTTTTATATTTGTACCGAGCTAAATATTGTTGCTTACTTTGCATAAAGTCTGTTATGAAAAACAAAGTCTGTCGTGATAAATTCTTCCACATGAAAAAAAAATATTACTCAAGCAACAAAATGTCAAATGTCATTTTCCAAAATTAGTTTGAAATGGTTAACAAAGAAAGACCAATAAAGAATATTCAATTCTTAGCTGAACTTGACTTCCATATTCTGTATGCTGGAATTTGCGACCGTTTCACACACCTTGTTCTTTTTTTCAGATGGGCATATGTGAACAGGGAAATTTTGTTGGCTCAGAGGAGTTCATTGGAATTCAAATTACACAGATTACATTTTATAGAGCTGTTAAAACAAGGCACATGTAGACAGAGAGAGGCTTTATTATATTCGAAAAATTTCTCCATGTTTGGAGCTCAGCATGCTAGAGGTAGGGGTATCTTTTTGCTGATATTATTGTTCATGGTCTCAATGATTTAGATGTTAGCTCATGTTCTGGCTTGTGGAATTTTATTTAAATCAGGATAGTACCTTAAGATTTTAAATCATTGTCATAGATCCTGACTTGAAAAATAATATCAATAAAACAAGAAGAAAAGAAAACTAAGAATGTATGTTTCAGATAGTGCATTTAGAAAATGACAATATGGTGAAAAGTTCAAAGATAATATAACAGTTAAAAGTTCAAAGACAAATAACACTCAAATGATGTTCCAAATACAATGGCGTAATGTTTGGATTCATATCATTTAGTTCATTGGTTTAAGACTATAACAATTAAAGTTGTGGTCAAAGGGAGATAACGTGGTTCAGTAGTTTACTTGTTATCCATTCACATTTATGATTATTTTTAAACTGCAGAATTACAAGTACTCATGGGTAGCTTGCTATACCTACCACAAGGAATTGAAAACTCCCCATACATATCACTACTAGAGCCAATTTATTGGGAAGAAATCTGTGATGTGTTTACAAGAGATGCTTGTGCCTTGATGGGATTATCAGTTGAAAGTCCACTCAGTGTTGGGTATGTAATATGTTCTCTGAAATAACTATTTTAGTCACAAAATAAATTTTGTGTTCCTGTCTCTTTTTAACTGGAGAATTCGCTATAAGATTCAAGTTTCTTAATATTTCAACCTGATTTTTCTCATGATATGAAAGACAGGGATGTTTTGTAGAAATTGTTTCCAAAACCAGTTAAAATCATACTTAAGAAATATCTTGATGTATACCCATACATGATATATTAATGCTTAATATCATTTTATCCACTTGGTCCAGCCCTAGGCAGAGGCCATATGTTTCCTGTCTATTATATAAATGATATATTTTCAGTATTCGCGCAGGATGTAAAGCACTACCACCATTATTGAGTATTAAACAGGTTATGTTACAGAGACAAGTACCATCTGTTTGGAGCAGTAAGGATGAATTACCGGTAAGCTAAGTGTGGTACATTCAGGTGCCATAATCCTATAAAGCTTAGCGATGCTTAAATGAATCATTTTCTTTTGATGACAATGTCCTAGCAGATGCTAAAACCTATTTAGTGATGGAATTGCGCTCAAATAAGCCGTTCTATTATGTTTTCTGACAAAATTTCCCTCATTGCAGACTGTTAAGCATTGCACATCTTTATTGGCGTAATCATGACTAGAAAGTATGACATGGAAGTTTTATATTTTTATTGTCCTAATTCTACCTATATGTTTGAAAAAAATCATTCTGTGTTAAAAACGTGTTGAATATCATAAGATGATAATTAATGTTTATTAATATTCAGGTTGAAATTGATCTTGGAAAAGAGTATCATTACCACTCTATATTTGCCTGTCCTATATTACGACAACAGAGTAATGAAAATAATCCCCCAATGAGACTGGTTTGTGGACATGTAATATCAAAAGATGCTCTAAATAAATTATCCAGTTCCAATAAGTAAGAATTTTTTTTTTTCTTTCAATTTATTTGTAAATTGTTTTTATTTGAATGATCAAGAGTAGTGTGTCCAGCAGGAGGATGCTATTCCACTGTCTTTAGGTTTCAGGGATGAAATTTATTTGAACACAATTGATCTTTCAAAGTTTTCAATTTCAACAGCAATCCTATAATCTGTAGATAACAAGAACATTGGTCAAATAAAATTATGGTGAAGGTGGCACAGAAATAGTGTGGTGGGAAACATAATTATTTGTTTAAAATCACTAGAATATTATAAGGCTCATTCATGAACTAGAATTACTATCAAGATATAATCCCATTTTTAATTGGATTCTATCATTACACCAAAGATTATGCCCCTTTAGCTGGTAAAACAAGTGTAACCTAACTTTAACCATTGGTTTTTTGATAACTGTTTCCTTTAAATTGATGATAAAAGTCAATGTCCTGTTAAATACAGAATCACTGATTAACTGATTTCTTGATATTTTTTAACATATTATTGTAGGGTTAAATGTCCTTTGTGTCCTGTAGAACAGATATCATCAGAAGCTGTACAGATTTATTTCTAAGTGATAATTGATGACTAAAAATATTTATATACAAACTATTTATTGAATGGTTGAAATTCGCCTCCTCTTGCACCAGAAGGACATCTGATAACAATAAAAGTTTACAAAGCAAAATTGATGTTGAAAGTGAATGGAATGTCTATGTGACAATTTCAATTTAGTGCAATGGGTATTTTTTGTAATATATTTTGACATTATAGATTTCTCTTGTTCAGCAAATAAGATAACCCTAATAAAAGGTCATTACAGGTCAAATCACCCCAAAAAGAAAGAAATTTTAACCCGATCATCACTGATTTTTATACGCCCACATGAAATGGGGGGCGTATATTGTCACCCATGTCCGTCGGTCCCTCCGTCCACAATTGCTCGTAAACACTCTACAGGGCACAATTCTTGACGGATTTTAACGAAACTTAGTATGTGTGTTCGCAATCACCCAAGGATAAACCCTATTGAAAATCAGCGAAATCGAAAAATATTTAGCATGAATTATTGCCCTTGTTCTTGCAAACGTGTTCAATTTTTAGCTCGTAAACACTCTAGAAGGCATAATTCTTGAAGGATTTTAACGAAACTTGGTATGAGTGTTCGTAATCACCCAAGGATAAACCCTATTGAAAATCAGCGAAATCGAAACTTATTTAGTATGAATTATTGCCCTTGTTCTTGCAAACGTGTTCAATTTTTAGCTCGTAAACACTCTAGAAGACACAATTCTTGACAGATTTTGACGAAACATGGTATGAATGTTCGTTATCACCCAAGGATAGACCCTATTGAAAATCAGCGAAATCGAAAAATATTAAGTATGAATTATTGCCCTTGTTCTTGAAAACGCCTTCAATTTTTAGCTCGTAAACACTCTAGAAGGCATAATTCTTGAAGGATTTTAACGAAACTTGGTATGAGTGTTCGTTATCACCCAAGGATAAACCCTATTGAAATCAGCGAAATCGAAAAATATTTAGTATGAATTATTGCCCTTGTTCTTGCAAACACGTTCAATTTTTAGCTCGTAAACACTCTACAGGGCACAATTCTTGACAGATTTTGACGAAACTTGGTATGAGTGTTCGTTATCACCCAAGGATAGACCCTATTGAAAATCAGCGAAATCGAAAAATATTAAGTATGAATTATTGCCCTTGTTCTTGAAAACGCGTTCAATTTTTAGCTTGTAAACACTCAGAAGGCATAATTCTTGAAGGATTTTAACGAAACTTGGTATGAGTGTTTGTAATCACCCAAGGATAAACCCTATCGAAAATCAGCGAAATCGAAAAATATTTAGTATGAATTATTGCCCTTGTTCTTGCAAACCGTTCAATTTTTAGCTCGTAAACACTCTAGAAGGCACAATTCTTGACAGATTTTGACGAAACTTGGTATGAGTGTTCGTATTCACCCAAGGATAAACCCTATAGAAAAATCAGGGAAATCAAAAAATATGTAGTATGAATTATTTCCCTTGTTCTTGAAAACGCGTTCAATTTTTAGCTCGTAAACACTCTAGGAGGCACAATTCTTGACAGACTCTACAAGTCACAATTTTTTTGTTCATAATCACAATTTACAATAGATGTCATTATTTTCCTGAGAAACTATTTTGGTAAACAAATAAGAAAATTTATTTTAATCATTTAACATGTCCCTAACCAGCCACCATACATGTACAGCATCATAAGATACTATAAATAGACCAAGTGGAAAATCCAAGACAGATATCCAATCATAGCTTAGTCATGTGACATCCCAAGATGCAGCAGTTTATCTGATTTCATTTTATAAATGTCATTCAAGAGAAAAGGTTTGCTTAATCATTTCATTTTCACCTATTGTGCTGATACAAAAATGAAATTAAACATGGGTCATAGGGGAAAGTTTCTTGGAAGATTGAATTGAGTTGCTGGATAAGTAGGCTACTACAGGAAAAATATTTAGTATGAATTATTGCCCTTGTTCTTGCAAACCGTTCAATTTTTAGCTCGTAAACACTCTAGAAGGCACAATTCTTGACAGATTTTGACGAAACTTGGTATGAGTGTTCGTATTCACCCAAGGATAAACCCTATAGAAAAATCAGAGAAATCGAAAAATATGTAATATGAATTATTGCCTATATTTTTGAATATAATCTGCAAATACACAATTCATGACAGACTTATTGAAATCACCCAAGGATAAATCTGATCAAAAATCTTGTACAACACGTAATTTTTATTCTACAAAGCAGAAGTCTAAAACAAATTTGACAACTTGATGAAATTGATCACAATTAAAACTAAACCTTTTGAAATATAAAATACAAGTTATTGCCGTTATTCTTACAAATGTGTTTGATTTTTAACTTGTGATGGCACAGTTTGTGATGGATTTGGGTATAAGTTGAATATTTCCTGGTGTCTATGTTTGCTATTTTCTAACAAATATTCAATTTCAAACAAAGCTATCAGTGGGCGTATATTACCTTGCCTGGCAAGCTATCTTTATGTAATTTAGGGGTGACTGAGCTATGCCAAGAAAAAATGTGTCAAAATGTCAAAATTTTGGGAAATCATATCTCTATGATCTCGATGAAATTTGGAATTTGAACTTTTCCCATCATATCCAAGATTTCTGCTAAGTATCAATAAAATTGGTGATGGTCTGGTTAACCCGGTTGGAACCCTGAACAAATTTTGTTTCAATTCCTTTAAACACAGTGAAATCTGAGAATGATACAAGAAGTCTAGTTAAAGAGTGTTTATTTTCATCTATATGGTCATATTTTAAACCAAATTAGTAACTCTATTTATTTGGCTGTACTGATTATGACTGGGTTGATCAGGAAACATATATTATATCATAGAAAGTCGAATCATTTCGCATTACCTGGAATTTTTTTACTTTGATAATTTTTATAAAACTTAACTGGCAGCATTCAGTATTATTTTTGGTTCATTTAAACTTTATTCAATTTTCATTATTTTGGAACATTAATACCCTTTTTCAATCAAAGTAGCTGTGAAACATATTGTATCCAAATTATTATTATTTTGGAACAAAATACCTTATATCTTTCTATAGCACCATCACAACATTACTGATTTGCCCAACATCCGGTGCATGGCACCACCTTCACAACATTACTGATTTGTCCATCTGATGTATAGCCTCAGCTTCACAACATTACTGATTTGTCCATCTGATGTATAGCTTCACCTTTACAATATTACTGATTTTTTCA